TTCAATTTCACCAGCTCCCATCCTCCACAACACAAACGCCACCACAATCCCTCCCCCCCTTGGCCGGATCGCATGTATCTGTCGGATCATCCACGCAAGCCCACCCCTCAGGACAAATTCCCCCAATCTTCCCCGCGCACGGAATCTTCTCACCTGCGTTCGTGTTAGCCTAGCCTCTGCCTCCGCCTTCCATCCACAACCAATGCATCATCCCATCCCCCCTCCCTTCGCCCTAACTCACACAACAGGAAACTCACTCACTCCCACCCACACAAATCCCCATACAATCCGCACCCCCCTTCTTCGGATCACACGTATCCCGCGGATCATCCACACACCGCATACCCGTCGGACACTGCAACCCCGCGAACCCACCGCAGTATCGCCGTATTGGCGGCACGACAGACGGCGTGGGCGCTGGCTTGAATGTCGCCGTTTCTTCGGCGCGGGCGAGCACGCCGCAGACGGTGGGCGTGGGCTTGGGGCACATGATGCCTTTTTCGAGCCATTGCTTGTAGCAGGTTTCGGCGGCCGCGGCTTTGCATTTGCATTCCTGGTGTGGGGAGTTAGGGGTGGTTTGGGCGGGGGAATAAGGGGAAGAGAGGAGGCTTACAGCGATGAGCTCCATGGGGCAGATGGGAGGCTTGCAAAAGCAGACTGTAGGCAGCTTTGTAGGGACGACAGGCAGGTCGTCTATGGGGAGAATAGAAGGGGCGGGGGCTGCTGCTGCTAGGGCAAGCAGAGCAGAGAGGACGATGTATGCTTTCATGATGATGAACTTTTGAGTTGTACCACCAAATTTCGACGATGAGTTTGGACTTCGGAGAAGATCGACCCTGCACACGGTCTCGTAGCAGAACTAGAGTGTTGATTTATACTTCCATCTCACCACCCACCTACGTACGTGCTCACTCCCTACCTAACCCGCGAACCTGGATATTACCCACCGCCGAGCCCATGTGGCATCTAATGGCGTTTCTATTTTCAGCGCCTCATAAAGTGCCTACTCGTGTCCCCAAGTAGTCGTTAAAACGAGAAACGAGAAACGAGAAACGAGAAATGCGGTGCGTTCGGCTGGCAGAGCCTGAAGGCTCTTTTGTCGTCCATGGGGAAAACAATTTTTTTTTGTGAGTAATTTAAATCATACGAGGTGAGGAACCGTTGCACGGTAAAATTGGCGGCACGTTTGGGCACACTTATGTTTCTCGTGTTCCAACAGTTTGACACGTTGCCTAGTGGAATAAGACGGAGGAATTGTGAACTCTGGGGCTTGGTTGCGCATACCGTGCGTGCGTGCGTGTGTAGCTGGTTGGTGGTTGGTGGTTGGTGCAGAAATTGCGTATTCTGGATTCTTGTGGTTTTGGCGTAGAAGAAGCTGAGGCGAGCCTTGGGTATATGCATAGTCGGCGAGGGCGTTGAAAGGCTACGGAACCCGGCCCAGGAACGCGCAACAGCTCCAGCATTTACTCATTGTAGGTGTCCGTAATTGGACAAGGTGGCGACGGTTCTGCGAACGTCGACAGCCAGGGTACAAACCCGGGTTTGCGCATTTCATATAATAGCCGAAGCAACTAGTACAGTTACATATTACCTATACGCATCCACCTACTTCTCCCCACATCATAGCTTCGAAGACCCCTTCGGCCTCTCCATCGCTTTCGTCTTGTTCTTGAAGTTCTTGACTAGCTGTCGGATGCCCAAATCCAGCATTACGTCTTCAGATCCACCCGGAATCCTTACGCCATTAACTTCGCGGTATATGCCTAGACGCGAAGTCAGCCCACTTATTCATATACACAACATTGTGATCCGAAAGGAAGTGGGGTAAAAAAGAGGGAAGCACTCGCGAGTGCACTTACGCTCGACGAGTTCACCCTGCCCGGATTTGGTGTAGCCGTTGCCTCCGAACAGCAACACAGCACACTGCGCACATTCGTTCAGCACAATGCCAGACTGTGCCTTCACCATGGCCGTTAGCCCTCCGAGCTCGATGTCAGCTGTCTCCTTCGGGAGTTGGGTCATCTGATAGACAAATTGCTCAACCCACGCCCACTGGCTCTCGACCATAGCACCACACTTGGCCAACCGATGTCTCACCACCGGCTGCTCCACTAACGGCTTCCCGAAAGCTTCGCGCTTGAGAATGTATTCCATCGCTGCGGCTAACGCCACACGAGATGTACGCGTGGCACCGATGGCGATGGTGAGCCGCTCGTGATTGAAGTTCGTCATGATATATCTCATGCCCATGCCTTCTTCGCCGATGAGGTTCTCAACGGGGACCTTGACGTCGTCCAGTTCGATGAAGGTGGTGCCTGCCGAAACTTGGCCTCCTACTTTGATCCTGCGCATGTTGACGCCCGGGTAGCCTTTCAGTGGGACAACGAGCATGGAAAGCCCGGTCGGCCCGGGCCCGCCTGTTCGCACGGCCATGGATGAGTAGTCTGCCCAGATGCCGTTTGTGATCCACTTCTTCGTTCCATTGACGATATAGTGCTTGCCGTCGGGTGTCTTGGTGGCGGTTGTGCTGATGTTTGCGACGTCGGAGCCGGCGCCGGGTTCGGTGATGGCGATGCACGTCCGCTTCTTGCCGGTCAAGAGCTCTGGAAGGAAGCGCTCTTGAAGTTGCTTGTTGCCGTACTTGACAATCGGAGGGACACCGAATGAAATGCCCGTGGTAAGCGATCCAGAAGGTCCAGCGAGACCCGATCGCGCCATCTGATCATCCATTAGCCACGCACCTCGCATACCTCCGACAACCACAACCCACCTCATCATTATAGATCAACGTATGAATATAATCAAAATCCTCCACCTTAACGCACCCCAGCAACTCATGGATACCCAGCCTCTTCAACCACTCAACCGGCAGCGGCGCAGGCAACGAAGGAAGCAGCATGCCCGCCTTCGCAAACGTCTCAAAAACATGCTCCGGCAGGGACTCCTGCGTATCCCATTCTAGCGCATTCTCCAGTAGATTCTTCGATATGAACTCGCGACATGCTTTCTGCCATCTTAGATGTGTGGGTTTGTAGTATGGCGAGGGCAGTCCGGCGAGGTAGGGCGGTTCGGAGAAGGGGACTATGGGTGTGGAGGACATTGTGGGTGGCTGGAAACTGGCGGCGGTGACGACGTGCGCTCGAAAGGGTATGCGAGGACGGAAGAGCAATCAGGAGCTCTGATATGTGGATTGTTACATGTTGAAGCTTACGAGAGCTTATAAGCTACGCCGCCATGGCCGCTTGCTGTGGAGAGGTATCTGGGGTCGCGGAATTACCGAGGCTCGCCGCGACGGCTCTAGCTGCATGGGTCCAACACCATGTCACATGATGCTCCTTCTATTAATGACTTTCGCAGTTTCCAGGTAATTAAGAAGATCTTAAGCATGTCATAACAATACGAGCGGACAGCATCGTAATTCCAGTCGTGCGGTCCGATTGAGAACTGGAGTATACTATGCCATCCTTTTGATCACCATCCAAGTCTCTTTACATTTAAACATTTTATTGTATTCGGATGATAGACCATCTTTCCACTCATCGTGATTACAATCCAGCTGATTCTACGTCCTCGGCCGAATGCAGACATCTGTTCTGCACCAGACCTCAGTTTGCCGCGGTTTCGACTCGATCTCTCGAGTCAGCTTCAACCTTGGATCTTGCATCAATTTGTAAACACAGGCAAGGGTCACTGGTGATGTTGTATTAACTGCTACAAAGTATCTCACTGTTATAATGGTCGTGCTACCCACTTACAGGAACAGCGACTGAAAAATCTGGCCCTTAACTCGAGCAGAATGTACAATATTGTATAACGGCAGGCCGCCAAGCGACCCTCGGCTTTACCCTACTCCCTAAAACCTTATTAACACTTTGGTATATGCTAAATTGATTCTATCTTTATTATCAAGCATATCTTACGTCACGACGTTAACATAGAAGGTCTTTCCTATCTGCTAATACCCCGTCTATTATTAAGTAACGTCGAGTTATTCCACCATAGCATACTGCCGCATTGAGCCAAGACGCGATTCTCTTATTAAAATTCGATTATAAGTGCGCTGCTCCTTAACGGAAGCACGGTAGTTTATAGGGTGATGAAGTTCTGAACCTATATGTGCAATACCTATTAGTTCTAAATTCTAACAACGAAGGTCAGCGCAACATCGTGAGAGTGTCAAAGAAGGTAGAGGAGTTAGCCAATGCTTTAAAGAGAGAAGTCGCACAAAGCAAATGTCCACTACTACTAGGAAGGAATCGAAGGACTTGGTTCCATTCATCTACGACTAAATACTTGACAAGCAAACATTGTCCTTTCGCCCTCGACGAGATTCTAGCGTAGCGGAGCATGTTATTTCGCCCTGAAAACTCACTTTATCCGCTGCTAACACTGTCATCCTGGTGAAATCGATTGAACAGCGACCGAAATATTAGCAGAATATGCTGTTAGAGACGGAGAAGAACCAATAATCCAGCCTGGAAATCAAAAATCGATTGTCGAGTAGTTACAAGGGGGCGCCGTTGATTCAGGTGCAGTGGATGGCCATGCTCGTTGCGGAACCAAGTCACGCATTGTTCCTCAACGGGTAGACCCATGTTACGATCTGCCAAGCTCGAAGATCGTTGCTTTGCATAGATACCATCCTTGCTCTTGTAGGAAATGGTTGCGGGGATGTGGAAGGGCTAGATCTCCCAAGATCGGAACCGTTTCGAGCGATTCTAAAGGGTTTGGTGGGCACTGAGCCATTACTGTTTGTTGGTGTTTGCATTCAAAAATGTGGCCTTTCATTGCTGGTACTGTTCCTGTGGAATAATTGCGTAGTCTTATAGACTAGAACAATCCAATGACTCGAAACGCCAAAAAAAAAAGCTGGCGTTTGCTCCACGCGGCCCGGTGCCTGGTGCGCTAGTTGAGCGCCAAGCCTCTAAGTCCGCGTCACAACTTACTCCACATAATGCATAGTATATAGATTAAAATTTATTAACATTATTCATAAAAATGGCACTTTGGCGGAGTGGTTATCGCGCAGGCCTGCTAAGCCTGTTCCTTCGTAAGTTCCTCTCGCAGCAATATCATCGACGAGTACTAATTAGCGCAGGGGAGCCAGGGTTCGAATCCCTGAGGTGTCGGGTTCAATTTTTTTGGGTTTGTAATTTTTTAATATTTCCAACTCGGTATCTCCGCCGTTAACATAGACTGGACGTCAGTAGCAGTAGCGGAGGCGCGGCCGGCCGTGGCACTAAGATACATCTTCGTAGACGGTATTGCCCTAGTCTCACTATTCTAAGGCTGGCACGTGGTAGGACTCCTTTTTGGACCACAGTTCGTTCCGGAAGCCTTTTAGGCCTAGGAGATTGTCCGTAGGACCACATGATGACGGGGATAACAGAATTGGGATACTAGGAGGTCTTGGCAGAACTATCCTAGTACAATATAGACCCTGGAATGTAGAGCGTACTCGGATTCAGTTCCTAGGCGATGTGCTGATTAGTTATACGCATGATTGGCCTTCACGATGGACTCGGCTCAGGGCCGATTCTAGGCTATCTGAAAAACCTCGTCAAAAAGATGCCACGTTCCTGAATGTATAAACGCACTTGAGTAGTTTAAAAACAGCAATGTTCAGAGAAAATTCAATCTCATGTCGTCAGAGATATATAGGCATCAACCGTCTGAAGATGCCACATTTGCTGTCAAGCCTCTTGGAACCGTGACTACAACTCAGCTCCTGGGAGCCAGGACTACCTTCGTGCTTGCGAGCGAGAGCGTCACCGACCACGGTTCAATCACATTACATAACACACTTCAAATTTTGCCATACCTGCTGCGACCGATTAAAAGAGCATCATTCATGCTACTTCTACACATACAAACTGCAGCCGATTCGTCCGCATTTACGCGCAGTCTCAACAATTTATTTTAATTCTAAGAATCTCTGTTTGTATCGACGCATCGCGGTCGAAAGGTTGGCCATCTAAGAAATTTCCTAGTAGCGTTTCATACCTCATCGGCTGCGCGGATCTATTATGTCCGAGAATCCGAATGTATTGGCATAATTAAATGCCTCGATTTTCGAACGCAGTGATGGCAAGATTGGGAGGCCTTCAAGCCGATATTAACCATTTATGAGCAAAGTCTCCGCGCATGCTTTTGGCTCACGGCATTGTTCTATGCAATCGACCCCGGATATCACTGGGCTTCATACTCTACGTATGTTGAGCTCTCTATTGATTAGAAAGAGCACCTGACAACATTGGATTAGCACTGGAAATCGTCCGTTTCAAACCAGGCTTGGGAACGAGAGTAGGCAAATGGCTGATTATTACTGTATAGCATACATCATGGTATTCGTAAACTGCACGGCTTCGAGAGGCTCATCATGGTTGTCCCTAGGTTTCTGCTAGTTTGGTAAAGCAATGCTGGTGTCGGGTTTAGGTTCGTCATCCAATTTAGTGTCAGGCTCGCCATCCACCGACTGCTTCAAAAGAGAATTCTTCTCGACAATAGCCTTCACAAAAATATCCTCGGGCGTGTAAAACTTGACAGCGCGCATGTTCGGTGGTGGATGCCTCTTAGTAAACCAGTTCCCCGATTCCGAAACACAATCTTCCAGACCTTGCAGCTGATCCGACTCCACTTCGAGGAAAATGCGCCGTTTGGGTAGCTCCGACGCGAAGGGCCCCTTATTGGTGATTGTTTGGACTGTGACTGGTTCTAGAGGCTTGAGCAAGATCGACGCAGTGCGACTCCTCTGCGTAAATCCATGGTCTGGCGTGGCTTCTAGGTTGTTGGAGTCTCCACTTAGAGGTGCCTTTGATGCTGCAAGCATCTCTTCGTGCAATTCGAAGGCGGTAAAAGGCCTGAACGACTTTTCCTTCAGCTTTTTCTTCAAGAGCTTCGAATAAGCTCTCGGGCCGCTATAACTTGGTGCGTTGCGTGATGCGGCGGCAAGGATTTCAGTCGTGCTTTTAGAAACTCTGCGAGCGGCTGATCCAGAGTAGCAACAATCTAGGATTATTAGAATGTCACAATCGGCAGCTTCCAGCAGATTGATACCACATCTCGTCTAGTTTACCCAAGCAGACCGGGCAGATACGTTACTGTGCAGAAACGGGTCAGAAAGTCAATACATAGCGTCATACAGTCGTAACTTACGCTACCCAGACACAGTCACCCTCCTCAGCAGTGATGTAGCCAGTATCGTCCCCATGTCCTCCATATACAATGATTAACAACGAGCTTTTGCTGCGACTATGCATTCGGGTGAGGTCTTGGATATGATCGATCAATTCGTGTCGGGCATCGTTGCTATCGTCTGCCGGCAACTCCAGAATGGGCTTGACATGGTAGTGGAAGTCGTCCCTGAAAACATCTGTAATTCCGTTAAGCTCATCGCGTATTTCAGCGAGCTCTGTGTTCATTTGTTGCTCCTCCTCGGGCTTCAAGTAGTTGATAGTCGGCTTCTTCCACATGACTGGAAGTACCGTTACGGATTGGTAGTACCTCTGTCCGAGGTTCTCGTTGATTCCAAGGCTGAAGTTAAGCTGCGCGACGAAAGAAGCGATATTGTCTTCATCACTCTTTAGTGATGCCTGCTCAATATCGAACGTGATAGATTGGAGGTTTGCTGGGGCGTGGTCTATTCAGCGAGTCCAGAGAGCATAATCCGGCATCGAAGACGTCACAAGGTTGATGTGTATGCCGAAACAGTAGCTTCCCGAAGCTTTGTTAGGAGTAAGTGACATTCCGAATATATTCCTCGGGGCATACGACTCGATCCAGTTCTTCCATGGCATTGGGTCAAGGCCATTTTGCGAAGGGACGATGTTTACATTTAGTAGGATCGTACGTATCTTCTCCGGATCTTGGATAACCGAATCCTTGGGTTTCACTACTTGCAGTTGAATTTTCGTGCCATTTCCGGGGAACCTTGCGTAGAATGGCGTTTCGTAAAGATTCGTCTTCGGGTGGCATAAACGCTCATGCAGCCGAGATATCGTGAAATGCTCGGCGGCCATGTCTTTCAAAGTAGCACAAAGTGCTGCTGAGAACGACCGAGGACCGACGAGTGCAAGGCCTGTTGGGCTACAAGCTGTGAGAAACTCGAGGGAACTAGGGCTTTTATGCTTGGCTAGCTGTACTGCAGATCTGCTGCTACATGTGTCTAAGGTTATCAACGTGTTGAAAGTAGAGTTCTCTAGTACTCTCTGATGAAAAGTCCAGTCAATCCTTTCGCATCGGTCGTGTGCCTCAAATAACCTACGATGAACGTCAGTGATCACTTCATAGTACACTTAGCCAGACACCACCCATCTTTCATGTGTCATAACTAGCATGGCAGAGCATATGCTCAATGCTCTATCGCCTTTCCAAGGGTCCTGGGTGACTGTTCTTCCATACAACCGTCTAGTATAATATTTAACATTGGGTGGCTTACGGGTATATGAAGAGACCTTTAGAGGAACTATAGATCCGTCCTACATCCGAGAGGCCGCCCTCGCCGCATCCAACGTAGACCACAATCAGCAAACCTGCGTTATTGAACAATTTAGCTGATGGCATTCATCAAGTTATGCGCGTCTGGGAAAACCTACCTCCGTTCTCGCAGTGCTCTAGCTCAGCGCTCGTCAGAAATTGTTGGAGCTTGCGAGCAGAGTATTTCCTTGGTATGATGAACGATTCTGTCCTGAAACCATACTTTAAGCCAAAGACATCTTGATATCTTTCTAGATCTACTCGATCGACCTCTTCAGCACAATCATCGGACTCCTTGGGGTGAATACCACCGTGGTAGTGTGGTTTGGCCATCAGTAGAAGCAGGTGGCGCTTCTGCCTGATGCGTCTGCAGCGTAGGTTGTTCCGATTGGATCAAAAATGTCTCAGCCTGGACGAGGAGCCGACGTTCGGCATGGCACTGTTCTGTCTTATGACAATTAGCACAACTTGTTGTCATCTTTCAACTGTAAGCAGTTAAGCTGAGATGGTTAGTTCGTGTCATCATCCCATCTCCGCACAGGAACCAGCAATACAAGGGCGCTCTGATGCGGAGTTGCCAACATCCTCATCCTCGTGGCAAAGCAATCGCTTGGAGCTGCTCTCGTACACCGAACCAACAACACTGGCAGGACCTATACTCTACCCGGCACCACCGCCAGGCGTTCCTATGCTCCCTGCGAAATAAGAAGAGCAGTTACGATTACGAGTCTAGCGGAAAGGAACTCCGCGCAACAGCGTGTTATTTCGCAGAATCATTCTCCTTTGATAGTTGAAGCAAACGAAAGCCAGACACAAGGTTGAACTATTATTGTATAGCATACACACTTTTGGAAGATAAGATATTTGTTCCCTCGTTTCAAGACACGGCATGTGTTGGCCTGGGTCAATACCGGGAGAAAATTGGGGAACCGCATGCCGCCGTCCGTAAACACATGCTCGTTGGCTTTGACTCGTTGGCGTTGGATGAGCCTTTGAGCCCCGAAATCGGCTTGAAGCGATCCTGCTTACTCGTTCTCCGTGATGAAAGGTTTCAGACTGCGGGTAAAGGTTTGAACCGCTATGTCGGCGAGAGAAAAAAGGAAAGTGGCAAAGAGCAACGTCAGGTACCTACCGTTCAAGTGGTGAGATTAAAGTCGCCACGGGATTGTGAATCCTCTCGTGATTTAACACTTTAGTCCTCCTCGATTTCGCCTTCTTCGCTGCCGGATCGCAGAGCGCGTTCTTCTTTTGTTGGTTCGGGAACGGGAGTCTTGGACTTACGATCGTGGCGGGGAGAGTAGCGAGCGCGCTGAATGATGAGTATGCAGAATCCACAGCTGGCTCCCAACGGGAAAACGTACCTTATTGTCACGCCTAGACGCACTCTCATCGCTCTCTCGACGGCGCCTAACCGACGTGGGACGGCCCCCGTCACCGTAGTCAAGCTCGCTCACACTGTCGCGATCGCGAGGATCCGCCCGACTAAGGGGATCGCCGCGCGAAATGTATGAACGCTCGCGCTCAGCCTCTCGCTCGCGTCGTTCACGCCCATAGTGGTCGCCGCTGCCTTGACGGGAACGTTCGTAGCGATCACCGTCTCTCTCGCGGTCGCGTCGATATGGCGGTGACAAGCCAGTGCTGTCATTGTTCCTAT